TTTACAGAATCGATTATAAAATCTACAGTTACTATGTACACTATATAATGCCACTTGAGCCAATTAAGCGATTATGGAGAATCTATATTTCTGAATAGCCTAAAATAATAGGTACCTTGGAGTACCATCAATATACATTTTTAGACAGAATAAAGTTAATCATCCTGAAATCAAGCTGTGTTATTAAGGGCACAAAAGCCCGAAATAGATAAATCTATTACAATATTACAAAAACATTTTATTTTTTGTATACAGAGTGATTCAGACAAAGTCAGCAACAGGCATAAAGTAGATAAAAAGGTTGAACGAATAGTTGGGTCCTAATGCCCCATTGCCGGTGTAAAAATTATAATTTCAAATCGGAAAAACATTATATCTTCGGTGATATTGACTTAAAGCTGTATACATGTGGTACGTACATCATATCCAATACTTACAAATATGTTCGTGGCACCAGACTACAAATAAAAATTATTTTCTATGCAAGAAACATCTATTGCAAATGTATTTAACACGACTCGCATTTCTTTAGTTTTTTTGTCAGACAACCCTTTCTATTTTGAAAATTGGTACAGTTTGACATTGAAAATGTTATGCAGTCCTAACTCACCATAGTAATATTGTATATGTTTATACTTTGTATTTATTCCGTCCTATTAGTCGCATAGAAATGTACATATATTTATAGGAACTTTTTTGTTATTTTTTATGCACTCTCTCTATTCGGTAGTTCCTTTTCAGAATCGCACTGTAGATTAATTCAAAAAAGGTGTACAATAAAAAAATAAAGTTAGAGTGGTGACATGAAGCATAAAGTATGCTATTAATATTATTTCTATTTATCATCTACCGAGGCTGTACCACTCAGTAGGTCTTGTCTATGGATGAGGTAAAATGTTTGTTTATCACATACAGTGCTTTTCGAAAAGGCTCCACTCCTACTTATTTTTTAGATGGATCAAGTTATCAAATTTAAATTCGGGCTCATGAAAATGATTGCATGTTAAAACTGTATTGAAGCATTTAATCAAATATGTTTTCATGTAAATAAATAAGAAACACTTCATTGTTAAAATTTGTCATTTTCTCAAACTGAATGTCTTATATTTTGTTGCTCTACTTCTCTCTCGCTAATTATCTGATTGACCCGTCCTTGGAAAATTTATGTTCAGAAAATGATGTTATAGTTGTAGTCACCGTTCTTGGCGGGTCAAAGTAAGTCTACCAGTATCCCTTTATATATCTACATCTCCCTCATACATACACATGCAACCTACCTCTGTGTGTCAGAGTGACAACATCGGCATCCAATTCAAGTTGTCCTGTTATCAATCTTCAATATAAAATTACGATGTCCGGAAATACGATCAATGGAGAAGACCGTCAGCTCATGCTAAATTTATTAGGGTATTTCCAGGAAGAGAATGAAAACAGTGTTATGCGTACTGAACAGAGTAGCAGAAGCGCTGAAGATTAAGATCCGCCCATGGTACGAAGAGTCGATCTGTTATCTTATTTCATAAGGCGTTGATGACGTAACCGCCAAGAACGGTAACTATAACTATACCTGCTTTAGTTGTCAACTGTCCTTTTTCGAAAATTTGATAAATCGAAGAAATATATCGAAATCTGTACACTTTTCACTACTGCCACTATTTACACTTCCTATGATGTTTCGGGTGTGTAATATTTGTGGTAAAAAACTGTATACATTGTACCTATAAAAAATAAAACATTTGCACACCATTATTTTCTATTCGTTTCAATGATTTCCTACTAGATAATAGTACGCCAAGAGAGCTACAACTAAGGCGAATTAACTGCAGCACAGTGATTGAGGAATTGAAGAAATTACATATAAACGTACATGTCATCGCTTGCTTCATTTTCTATAGGTTTGGATCCGTGATTATATATTTTACTGTATGATATATCACAATAACTCATACCAATTATCATTGCAAAAATCATGTACCATAGTTAAAGTCATTGAACGTATATTACACGGTATTGCAATAGCATACATGTGATGCTTACGCCGGACCTGTAGTGTCATCATAATGCGGCTCCACCCCTGACTCTGTTTTTGTATAGCCAAGAGAGGTTCTAACACCGCATCTCTACATACCATCTTGAAGGTTGCAATCTTGGGAATTAAGCGTACACAAAGGCTGCGAGTCAATTAAAAGACGAACTAGATACTTTTGTATACCTCAACACGTATCCATTATTACAAAGCTATCCTAACGCTGACAACAACAATATTTTACATTAGTTGCGCTTTTTGAGTATAGGCCAAATAGCCAGTTATCTACCAAAATCACGTATACTGAATTGGTGAATTCGCATAATCAGAATCATTTCACGTAAAATCCATGTATGGTCACGATACGAGTTTATACCAAATATTTGCAAAAGACATGTGAATTGTGTATCTGTATGATGATTGTACTTACCTTCTATTATTTCTTGCTTTTCTAATTTATCTACTTTGGTATCCATAGCAACCACTTACAACAAAAACCCCGACAGTTCAACAAGTCATTGCTTCTTCAGCTCGACGTGCCACGATTAAAATACAATTGTTAATAGATAGGCGTAATACAGTTAGTTCAAGAACATCTCTCATTTATCTTTGTTATCACTTTGTTTGTTAGTGTAGTATTGTTATACGCTCCGCCGTAAGCCTTAAGACTTACGCGCCTTTTATTTACATGGTTAAACCGCCAAGTGGAATGAATTGATTATTTCTATCATCGTGCATATTAAGATAACTTTCGCGTTTCGCTACAATTTATAAAGGTATCTAAAATGTTTAAACTCGTATGCTAAAGATGATATATCGACACATATTTGTGTGAAGTTTGAATGGAGTCCGTTTTTTTGCCGAAATAACCTATACAGGGTGTTTTAGAAAGACGTGCCCACATTTCTAGAGTAGAAAGACATCAAAAAATATAAATGGCCTTCAAAAGACACATCCGTAATTCGGGATTGAATGCATCTGAGCCTAGCGCGGCTGCAAGCTAAATAAACTTCACGAAGAATTGAGAATCGCGAATATTTAAACCAGCTTAGGTTTAAAATTGCTTATCAACAATGCAGACGGCGTGTAAGAGAAACGTAGGCCACCACCACTACTGCCCAAGCGCACAGCGCACAATGTATATAGGCACAGAGCAGCATTCATTAGCAGAACACGAGCTAGGAAGTTTTCTGTTTTCTGTAGTCGAAAATACTGCTAGTTTCACTTAGATGTAATAATATATATGTAATAATATATATGTGATAATATATATATATATATATATATATATATATATATATATATATATATATATAACAAAAAATAGGAAAATAATGGGCAAAATCTGCAAAAAGAAGGAAAGTGGATTCCAGCAGAAAATAGGATAGGTAACCTGAGCGATACGTATTACTGCTGGTTGGCTTCATCAGACCCGAAATGAATACATCTATTTAACTACAAAAGTAGATAGACATTTCATTCCAAAATTGATCAGGCTGTATAATTCCTCAAATTGTCGTTTTGCTTGTAAATCAGTTCTCACAGTCAACAGTGTGTTTTCCAAAATGAAGTATACGGTTCAGCTGCTTGATTCAACCAACACTGTCTACCGCATTCATTGAAACAACTGTAATTTAGTTTACATAGACCAAACATCGAGATCAATGAAAGGCAGGATAACCTCACACAAGATTGACGCCAGATTACATCCAGAGAGATGTGCTTTGGCATCACATGTTAACACCACAGGTCATTCCATGAGTTATGGCAGTATTAAGGTTCTTGACGAGGAACAACAACTGTCAAAACGTCTATTTTTAGAAGTGGGCCGCATTTTTATGACAGATCATTGCATGAGTAAAAAGGCTGATGTTAAGCAGCTTAGTGTCATTTATTCTTACTTATTGAATTGCGAAAAGTAAGATGGTTACATATTCCAGTTGTTCTGAGGTCCTCCCAAAATTAAAACACAATTCCAATTATTTATCCTGTTAATTGAAACATTGCCCTCACGGTAATAATAAATTTTAATATATTTTCATACAACCCATCTTTTCAAGCGTGTATCACCATCTTACACTAGTACACTCATATGAATTACACTTTTTCCAGAACAAATTTTATCGAGCATTTTGGGAAATAGGATGAGTTTTTACCGAGCGTCCCTCGTATACACTATACCTGAAATTTGGCAATGATCTTTACATTTCCACATTCTTTCGCGACAATCACCTGCCACCTGTCGACGCATCACTCTTCCGGTTCGCTCATTTTCTCCACGTGAAACAGATGTAGGAGGTTAGAAGGGACTCTGCCGGTTTTTTTCCCCAAAATTGCTTTTCGATAATTTTTAATGTGTCGGGTGTATTGATATATAGTGTTAACATCTAACGACAGTTTCCGTCGTTATCAGTAAACCCAATGTGTCCGTCCTTTTGGTTTTATATGTGTAACAAGTGCTCTCATCCACGCTTTCGTTTTGAAACACCATTTGGCTGCAACCTCAGCGACGAGTAAGTTGTCTGATAATTTAAACACTTCCCGTATTGGTTGCTAGCTTCATATTTGTGTTTTCAGCTCCTAAGGTGGCTCCTTAGAGAAGCCGGAAGCTCGAGATTACCGTTAAAAGGATTTACTTAACCCTCGAAAAATTTTTCCAATTTCCCAATTAACAATTGATTGTCTTTCTTGCCGAACTAGTCGTTGGGAATGGCAATGACAACTGCTCGTATATTTATATATATATATGTCTTTGAAAAATCCCAAAGAATGGTTTCGATACCTTGAAGTTTGAGGAAATTATGACATTCTCTGTGTTGAGTGATATAGCCGACGGTCCTTGCGCGTCGAGGTTTGGTCGTGACGTCACATTACACAAGTACCGCTTCTCGGCCACGCGTAATTCGGCAGCGTTATTTGGCAGCCACGAAATTCTTCCTTGAAATCAAGACTTACTTATAAATGAAACACAAAATACAGTTTACAGAATTTTGTCAAGCATAAACTGTATAAATTTTGGACATCATAATATAGTTGTGACTAAACGACAATTTTTTAAATCCACAAAAAACCAAACTCCACGTTCTTCTATGAGCTCGCTCAACCATTCTTGTTGGATTTCTTCTTAGTATCCTCCAAGAGCTTATCAAGTTCACTCAATATTTTTTTCGTTTTTGCTTTTTCTGCAACAAAATGAAACATATTTTGTTGTTAAGGTGATGTTTCAAAAGATTTACTTGGGATTTCCATTGCCTAAATAAAAAGTTACGCGACATTTCAAGTGGTTCAACCGTCTTTAGTTCCAACTTAAATTTATTTAGGCAATAAAATTCCGTAAATGGAACATGCCATATTAATTAATATCTGTGGTTTTCATGCTGATAATCTCCATGTTTTGTTGGCTGTCCAATGGAACCGCCTATGTCAGCTGATGCTGACTTCTATTCACTCGTTCTCAGGCTGGTGTTGGCAGAAATATGTGGGAAATTGATGGATTTGCCTATAATACTTGGGAAAAAATATAGTTCAGTTGATGCACTATTGTTTGACCGTCATTGGTATGACGTACCATTTGCAGGGAACTTAACGCATTTATACTGATGTTTAATATCGTTTTGGGTGGCTGAGTGTACAAGAAAGTTTTTATATCATTTTGTGTGCTCGAATTCTGTCAATTTTTTGATCTGGATACAACTTTGTGTCATGAAAGGCTGAACATGAAACTGAAACTATGTTACCTTGGCCACCCATATGAAGTGAAATTTTACTCCAACATTTCTTTCATTTGACGACTAGCAATGCGTGGATATTTATCTTATCATAATGTTTGACCGTATGCAGCTATAGGGAACTAATTGATTAAACCTATTCTCACTTATGCTGCACACTACTCGTGGCACTTCACAGAAGAGAAAACCTAGACCGGCAGGGTTATGACGCAAAAAACCTACGTAATGTCAAACAAAAATTGAACTTGTGTACTAGGTAGCCGTTAGTGTGTAGCTAGTTCATTCCACGCCTACTACAAGTGAGCATGGAGTGAATGTCATCTAGTTTAAAGGTGATGATGTTATAGAAAAACCTACAAAAACTCATAAAAAATCGATCTAGTGTATCTTTTTAGGTTGCGTAATAATATAGTCTAATCATATTAGACGAAATTACCCCTGGTTTGCGAAATAATTTCCAGTCTGGTTTTATTGCTGTAGGTTGTTCAAGGGGGTATTCAAAACATGGACGCATAAAATGGGTACATCAATTTTTTTTGGGAAAACTTTTTATTTGGCAACAAAGAATGAGAAAACGTGTTTTTTGGGATTCAATCAGAAGTGTCGGCAGGAACAAAAAAACTCTTCATATAGGATTTTTAGGTATTTATGAGACCTACAAAATGATATCACACGTAAAAAGATGCGACGAATGGCAAAAAAGTTATGGGCAAAAACCGAGGCAAGCTGAAGGTTTTGGCACTTGTTGGTAATGCGACGATGGTTTCTCGCAGATATTTGAAATTATTCAAATTCGTAGGATTTGTACCTCTAAATAACCACAACAACATTGGAATAGATTGTTCACGTAGACAACTTCTAATTGTTTATCCCAAAACACCTGTTTATTGAGCAATATACAGGGTTAGTTAAAGGCATTTCATAGCAAAATACATTAGTTTACCTTGTCGATATGAATCACTACGTTGTTTCTTCTAAACAAATTCAAACACTTCGTATTTGTGAGTAATTCACAACAAAAGGTCATAGACACATGCGCTTTGTCTTAAAATGTGTATAGTAACGTATGTTTTTCGAATATCGTAGCGCACTTGTTCAATTACTAACAAAATGTTTGAATTTGTTAAGAAGAAAAAAACGTAACCTTTGTTTTTCACATAAAAATAATTTTCATCTTTTGGAATGATTTATGAATCATATCGGCAAGGTAAACACGTGTATTTTGCTATTCAATGCTCTCTGAACGAATCCTGTGTATTGCTCAATAAACTAGTAGCGATGGCCGGAAAACAGGTGATGTGGTATAAGCAATTAGAAATTCTCAAGAAACTACTTGACCAGTGTACTCCAATTTTGTTGTTATTCAGAAATATGAAACCTACGGATTTGAAGAACTTCAAGTAGTTGCTTGAAACAATTGTCGCATTACCAACAAGTTCCAAAACCTGCATTTTGCCTAGCATTACATTTTTGCTATTAGATCTTTTTACCGGTGGTTTCATTTTGTAGGTCTCATAAGTACCTAAAAATTTTATATGCAGTTTTTTCGTTTCTGTCAACACTTTCGATTGAATCCCAGAAAACACGTTTCCTCATCCTTTGTTGTCAAATAAAAAGTTTTAAAACATAATAAAACCAGACTTTACAAGTATTTCGGGGAAATTTGCCAATATGATTAGACTAATGCGCAAGTGCAAGTCTAGAGACCTGTAAATCTGTCGCTGTTGGTATAAAATACTCAAATTTAAAGAGGATGTGCGTCGGACATATTAATATTCGTTCAGAACATCGTAAATATTTTACAGTAATGGTGAGGTTTCTTTTCCTCACGGGGAGTGGCAGCTTCAGTCTTAGTCGTTCGCAAAAAAAATAGACTTTCTACCCAAAAAATACCAGCTGCGTTTCTTTTTAATATAAAGATTCTGATATTCTTTGGCTCCGAATCGGAATTCCTGTATCTGCCGCCACTGGAGTGGTACTTGAAATCAAATCTCAAGCTGTTTCTTGGCATATTTCTTACCGATATCGTCGTAGTTGATCTCTGTAACGGTGTCGATTTTGCTGAAATACTCCTGAAAGGCAACAAAAGCTCTTGCCCGTTGATAGCCGGAGAACTCGTCGTCAGCCTTGTCATGGAACATGACGTCCAAGAAGTGCGGGGTAGACCTTATACGTGTCAAATACGTTCTACATGTCAAATTAGCAGGCTCTTGGTTCATCTTTTGGCTGCTGTTGAACATATTGGATTTATTGTTCCCGGTAGAGACGTTATCGCTGATAGCGCCTTCTGCTGATTCGAAATTTTCTGTAACCAAAGGAGAGCATTTTTTATCCTTCATACTTAACTGACAGGAAGGCAGGTCACAGGACTGCCAATGTGCTTGTATGAGCGAGTTTGGCACCAAAAGGTCCAGCAGATTGCAGCACTTGGTTGCCGCACAGTGATCTACTGATGCGGCCAGCATTCAAAAAACAAAGCGAAAATGAGAGAAAATCATTATCTAGCTCAAAATACATATGTGTATCACTAAACTAAACTATATCTCGAAATTGTTTCAGATTCCCATCTTCCCTGTGATGGACATATGCAATATATTGCAAAGAAATTTCTGTTATACAGAGTGTTCCTTAATGATATGCGAATATTTAAGGGTGTGTACCTACATGAAAAATTTATGTTAGTTTGCTTTATAAACTATGGTCCAAAAATGTTTCGTTACAAAAACTCGAGGTATTGAAGTTTTAGGAAGAAACTTAATTAATATTTTCAGAACCGCTTCAGATATTTCACTGATATTTCGTACATAGTGAAATGAAAATTAATAACAGTGCATATTTTTCGAAGCAAAAATAATGTTTAGCTTTAACAGTGGCGTGTGTACGGGTCTATATTTTTTAAGAAAACATGGGACGCCAATGGTTTATTACCAAATAAAAATTATTTTTGAATTCCCAGTTCAATTTAAAACAAATGATTGCTCTTGAATTGTTTTTCTTCGATGCGCCATTTTTGAGTAAAAAATAACAACTATTCTATTGTCTAACTTGCAAAATTATTATTAATTTAATTGGAAAAATTAAACACATGAGGAGTAATGAACAACAACATCTGACAACATGAACATAACACTGAAACCAACGAAATGATTACAAAAATTGTTGAAAATGGCCCCCTCACTTAGTATGCATGCTTCCGCCCTCCTCATGGAATTGCGCACTGGTTGAAATATCTCTGGAGTGTTTTTTATTCTATCACAAGCTACAACTAGTCTTTCTCTCAATTCCTCTACAGTGTTAATGGGACTTGTGTACACTAGTGTCTTAAGATAGCCCCACAAAAAGAAATCTAAACTGTTGAGGTCTGGGGACCCTGGTGGCCATTCCTGGGGCACACCGCGGCCAATCCAACTATTTGGATAAACAGTTTGTAAATAATTTCGAACCACTATACTTAAATGCGCTGGTGCACCATGTTGCATATACCACATAGTGTTTCTCATTACTAACGGAACATCATCAAGCAGCAAAGGCAACTGTGCCAATAACGTGGTTGCCAATAATTCCTGCCCATACGTTGACCGAAAATTGCTGTTGGAAGTGGGTTTCGGTTACGGCATAGGGATTTTCTTCTGCCCAGATATGATTACTGTGAAAATTCAGAATGGCATTTCGAGAAAAATTAGCTAGATTTTGTGTAATTTTTTGAAGATACCACTGACATGAGGTCACACGCCTTGGAAAATCAATGAGAAGTAATGCCCGGACTCTTAAAATATGGTAAGGATATAACAAAAAATCCACTAAAATTCTCCAAACAATTTGATGGCAAATAGTTAAGTGTCTAGCGATCTTCCTCGTTCTCGTTTCAGGATGTTCTTCGACTCCGTCCAGCACTGCTTCCTCAAATTCAGGTGTTCTCATACTTAGAGGTCTACCTTCAGATGTTCTCTTTCGGACAGAACCAGTTTCAACAAGACGACAATGAATATTAGAAAAGATTCGACTATCTGGCAAAGCACAATCTGGATACCTCTGGTCATAAATCCGTCTGGCTTGCTCACCATTACCGTCGGCAAGGCCATATATATAATGCATTTCCGCCATTTCTGCATTTGAATAATTCGCCATTATTAACAAGATTGCAAAAACTAAATAATGAATAATATGTCACAGCGAACAGATTTGAATAACAGAGTCAGATGTCAAAAGCCAGTGACATCTTCCAGAGCAACTAGATATTTATCGCTAAATTGCATTCTTCAATTATTACATCAATTTTCTCGGACAATAGAACGGTTTTTATTTTTTTACTCAAAAATGGCGCATCGAATGAAAACAATTCAAGAGCGATCATTTGTTTTAAATTGAACGGGAGATTCAAAAATAATATTCTATTTGGCAAAAGCTATTAGCGTACAATTTTTATCCTGAAAAATATAGAAGTCAATACCCGTTCGTATGCCACTGTTGAAGCTAAAAATTATTTTTGCATTGAAAATTATGCAGCTTTATTAACTTTCACCACATACTAAATCAATGAAATATCTGAAGCGGTTCTGAAAATTTTAATTAATTTCCATTTTTTTTCTAAAACTTCAACATCCCGAGTTTTTGTAAGGAAACATTTCTGGACTATAGTTGATAAAACAAAATAACATTAATTTTTCATGTAGATTCACACCCTTAAATATTCGCATATCATTAAGGAACACCCTGTATAAGTTCAGATATTACATACAAATTTTCAATAAAACTCAATTAAAAATGGTATATCCAAAACTAGTTGAATGCCACATAACCTATAAAATTACTATCTGGGTAACCAAGAATAACAACCACCTAAATTCTTTACAAATAATACAAGAATTATTCATATTATATTAAAATCATTTATATACTTAGTGTCTATTGAATACTGATATAAGCTTTTCTAATCTATGATACAAAATTATTGTATTATATTTATATTATATAGATTTTTAGCTATTATTGTGTTATATGTTATGTGTTAGAATGATATATGTACACAAAGGTATTTTCTCTTTTGTGGCATATCAATTTATTCTCAATTTATAAATATTATTATTATTAAAACCAATATCTAAATCAAAAGTTTACAATGGTAACAGAAATTTGCTTACACGATTTTTACCATGACGGACTATCAGATTAACTACGTGTTTCAATCGACACTACTTTGTTACAGTTCGAGAGATTTTGTGTTGCGTTATTTGTTGAAAAATCTTGTACATACGAGAGAAATTGGTCAATATTGTTTTCATGTGCACCTTGAGCTAAACGGATTCTCTCCCTTTTTATGTTAATATTGTTTAGGGAGATTTTTAATAACGTAAATTGGGATTAATGATGTTTGTGGACCTCGAAGCATTGCTGGTATAGATCTAGAGTCAGCTCTTGCTTTACAATTGCAAACTATCGAGAAACATAATCTTTCGAACAGTCATTATGGCAGGTGGTCGGAATCAATTGCTCAACTTTCAATGAATTTATTCTTAAATCTCAAAATGACCTTTAAATGCTTTCCTGGAGACTAACTGATCTCTGATTAGGACTCAACGACCTCGTCGACATATATTCGTAGAACTCTTGTATTTTTTCATTATTTTCATTATTTTCTAGCTGGTACACTATCTAAGATGTTTTCAAAAAAATAGCTAAAATTTGACCAGATTCAACAACACATGTTAGTTAACTTCTTGCTCAATTCATCCAGGAAACTATCAATCTTACAATTTCGTTATACTCGTATATGTTTTCAATTCATTCATCAATCTGGGTTGGATATCGACTTACGTCATAACTTTCCACTAACCCTTTGTTAATATCCTAGATTTTTTTAAAGCCTAATCACTTGTTTATTTTAAGACGTGTATGTGCTACTAAAAAAATTGCTTATGGGTACTTTTAGGCTGTGTAAAGTCGTAACTAGAAAAGCACCCTCTATCAACGTACCATCACCCACTTCCTCGACATCACTCCCAGTCAGCATCTGATTTACAGACTGCACAATCTTCTTAGCCAGTTCTCTCTTTTCTGCTTCCTCCAACGACTTGTTGATCTCTTCCAGTGCTTTGCTGTTGGCCTTGCTAGAGAAACATCTCTTGCTTGTTATGGATGTAACAGTTGTGCCACATCTTTTATGACTGCCGGACATCTTCGCAGAACTTTGACATGGGTCCTTCTCTATTTTTCGAATAAATTTTAATTTTGAAAACATTGCTGGTGATTTAACCTTTAATGTGACACTGGCTGACATTAAAAAGAATAATGAGATTCCATCGGTTGATACAATACGTTTCTCATATTGAGTTAATGTTTTTAAAATTACACTGCTACGAAGTTTTTGACTTTCACTCACCTCAGAGTTAAAAAAATATGCCTTTTCACGCTATTAGCACCCGTACAACATGTCACTAAGATATGTTTAAAAGAAACACAAATGAAATTGAATTGGATAGCGCATGAGTGCAGTCAAAGTTCGTTATCAATGTTCTACATTTTGTTATACTTTTATACTAGAAAATTTTACCCTCAAATGTATCACACTCATCCTCCTTCTCGACTGTTGGAGTTATAACATTCGGAAGGCTTTTGCACTTGCAGACGATGTCTGCAGGCAGGTCTTTGGGATCACATACTATGAGTCCAGCTGCTTTTGCTGCTTTTTCTGCTTTTTCACGCAGAGCTTTTCTCTTCCATTCTTCTGGTGGGGGACAACCTGGCCTGGCCTTCATGGAATATACAAAATTATAAACGCGGAATAACGAAATAAGAACATGGATTTGAACACCTCGTCAAAGTCCGATACAAAAAAGTTCATTGGACTTTGACTAAATAAACTCAGTTGAATAGGTTTAGAAGAAGAGGAAACGTAAACCTCATACCGATTTTATTATTGGGTTTACTGTGAAAATGTTTTACGAGATAAGGTGATCATGCTAGGCTGGCAGTTCATTCTCTCGCTAAGCGACGCTATACCCTGTTCGTAATCCATTTATGCCCCGGCACAACAAAGATGCAGCGCGGCAAAGCGCAAGCCGCCTAAGCTTTGCAATAGCTATTGGTCATTCAGCCATTAAACTACGAACAAGTGCAGGATTCGACAGGATAGAACTCGGGGTATCGCCGGCTCGCCGACGCCGGCAGTTGCTGTTCATATTCGGTGCATGCATAGCGTGTGTTTATACGTTAGGATATCGCCTACGGATACAGCAGATGAAACTGAGAATACTTCTCCGAATGCTTCCTCTTCAGTGACGTCTCCTCTCCGAGTACGTGATAAGAAGAAACATTTGAATATTCAGACAAATAAAATCATCCTTAACGTTCATGAGAGCGAAATTTTAGAGCATCCTGTGGCGAACAAAACAGGCTTATTCCCTAAGACAATTTTCAATATTGTTAAAGAATATAAAAAAGTGTCTCTACCACGCAAGAGACTGCATTACATGAAGCTGAATTATTTAAAATCCCGCAACCAGGGCAGGAAGATTTATTACTTGTATCAAACCTGGATAAATGCAGAACATACAAAACCTAAAGTATGGGTTAACTCTACAATTAAATCAGCAAGACAGAAACACTCGCAAAGCTCGACGACAATGCCGTCATTGTACTTGATAATTCTGCATACCACACTAGAAAACTAGACAAAATTCCCACAATGTCCACAAGGAAGACAGAAACAGCTGTTATCAAAAGACATTAGTTTCAAGGAAAATATGGTCAAAGCAGACCCTACCCATCTAGTCAGGCAGCACAAATATGAATATAATCTTAATGTTATTGACGAAAGGGCTAAAAACTAAAATAAGACCGTTTTGAGGTTACCGCCTTGTCACTGCGAATTAATTTGGGGAAATATAAAAAACTGTGTGGCTTCAAACAATAGAACATTCAAATTATATGACATGAAAAATTTGTTTTATGAAGATATCAACAGAGTGACGGCAAACCATTGGAAAGACTGCATCCGTCACGTTCAACAGGCAATCGCGACAAAGATGTGGGATCTGGACAATATAATCGATATTCAAATTGAACCTGTAATAATTGATATTAACCAATCGGACGATGATTCAAGTCTTTCCAGCGAATAAAGAATTGTGAAAAGTATGTGCACTTCCTTCTATAAAAATAATCATTTATTTTGTTAGATTATTCTAAGACCATTGAGGAAAATTCGGACCTGTACAATCTCGCCTTTGGGCATATTGTTTTTTGTCTGGGCGTAAATGGACTACGAATGGGGTGTAGTGTAGGTGGAGGTCAAGCTGCCAAAAGAGGAAGGAAAAAACAAATTTTAGGCGATGTTTGCAGAGTATTTGAGCTTAGGAACAATTAGAATTTCAAACCGTCAATTATCTTTCCTTCTTCTCGGATAATGTGCAAACTCCGAATTAGTCTTTTTATAACCTTAGGATAAGGTTACTATGGTTGCAAATTTTGAAAAAATTAATTTCTGATGAGTACGCCCAGGGGGATGTAAGTAGTATATGTGAGTTTGTACCCTGCATTGAGTTACATCTAACAATTGCGCCGTTCACCAATGGTAGTTAACATTCATTTGATAATGTTACCTACAGGTTATGATTTGTTCATTCTATACTCGCCGCTCCACATCCCCAGATAGCGCAGCTTAACTTATTTTTCCAAATACTTGTGAAAAGAATTGTCAAAGATGCACTGTCAGCGGGAAGTGATTTGATTTAAATTTAAAATACTACTCAGGTAATTATCAGAGACAATTAGCAGAGCAGAGTAAGAGTGCTCGTTGACATGTAGGCACTGACGGCGAGTATGGAGACGATCTTCGAGTAAGGTTACTATGGTTGCAAATTTTGAAAAAATTAAGTTCTAATGAGTACGCCCAGGGGGATGTAAGTAGTATATGTGAGTTTGTACCCTGCATTGAGTTACATCTAACAATTGCGTCGTTCACCAATGGTAGTTGACATTCATTTGATAATGTTACCTACAGGTAATGATTTGTTCATTCTATACTGGCCGCTCCACATCCCCAGATAGCGCAGCTTAACTTATTTTTCCAAATACTTGTGAAAAGGATTGTAAAAGATGCACTGTCAGCGGGAAGTGATTTGATTTAAATTTAAAATAATACCCAGGTAATTATCAGAGGCAATTAGCAGAGCAGAGCAAGAGTGCTCGTCGACATCTAGGCACCGACGGCGAGTATGGAGACGGCCTCCTTGATGCATAGAAGTTGTCTACAGAGACCTCAGAGGGGAGCACTTGGGGTTGCTGAAGGAGTACGCAGCCCCAAGTGTTCAACTGATGGACCGAGATCAAACTATTGAAGAGCTTAGTAGTGAAACTCAAAACTTAACAAACATGTCATTAAAATTGGTAGAAAATAAAAACAGGAAAAAAAGGCAGGCGGGCTTTGTGCTTGACTGCGCCTCTCCGGAAGTGGCCCGGCTTCAAGTCTATCGGAATTATTTTTTATCCGTTTGTCCTTACATCAACAATGCCCACAACTCATTAACCATTATTGTGTTTACCCCAAACGTTATCATGAATGGTAGATCAAACGATATAATTGTAATTGAAGAGTAAAAATGATAATAATTGAAGTATAACTTAGACTCAAAATTGTTGCCAAGGCGAACGTAATCTGATAACGGCATTGCATGGTACGTAACAGAACATACCTATCAATACACTTGACGCCATGTTTTAAATGCCATTTACTTATTATATTTATGGAGGCTTAGCATGATTTGTTAATCTGCAATTATCATTTTATAAGTAAACATTTGAAAAACGTACATATATAAAATAATAATTATGGGAACTTGAAAGTGTTGCTATCTTGATGATTAGGGACACAACGTTGACAGTGTTGACACCTTCCTAAACAGGTACTGAAATTTTCGGAGTGTAACGCGAATTCATACATAGCAGACACATCTTCTATAATTGTTGCCTTAAGGCGAAACTGTATCTTTGTCTATATTTGGCCGAATAAATAATCTAATAAATCAAAATGTAGGAAAGACTAATCTGGATCTTGGCGATGATTAGGCTTACAAAGTTTCCACGCCAGCTAAGGGAAATGTCAACGTCGAGAGATGGTAGTTATTGAATATGATTTCCAACAAATAATTTCCTGTAAATTAATAAAATGTTTACGTGCTCATGACTCGCTTATCAATTTACGTATCTTCCTGCCACTACTTACATGCTTATTATGTGTTGTACGTGATTAATGAATGAATGTTTTAACGAATAATTCCTATAACTAATACATATTTTTTAAGTTGCCATAAATAAGAACACTTTTATAAATTTGCATAATAAATATGATGCAACCCACGGATAAAGGTGGCTACAGACACAACTGCAAGCTTGTCCAGCATGCTTATTCAATCTTTTTTTACAAGTATGCTCAATTCGCCTTTGGCACCACACGTACAAGCATTCTTGATAACAATAGAGGTAATTTAATAAAATATGTCGAGCTCGGACCATAAAGCGCTCGCTTTGGCCGCTTTTGTTCTTGTGAAGGAAATGAAAGTCCATAATAAAAAAGCGTGCGGTGTCGTGTAAATAATGGTTGATGAAGAGAAAAACCTATTCTCATATTAACTTACAAAGTGAGCTGAAAATATATCCGCGTGACTGGCACAATTATATTAAAATGGATGACGTATTTAAACCTTTTGTCTCTTGTATCACCTCAGATTCAAAAGCAGGATACGATCATCAACGGACAAGCTTGAAAATAATAATAATAATAATAATGCCTTTATTAACTGCAGTGAGGCGAAGTTTAGCCAGACGGCTACTCTTACACTCAACCCCACTACAGGAAAAAGAATACTTACACACATAAACAAAATAATAACATACAAAAAAAAAATACAATTCATAAGAATGACAACATTGATTGCACGAAACAAATGCAGATAGCATTGCGAGAGTTTTAAATTTGAAACAAAAATAGTAGAAAATAGTCAAACAAAAAAAAAAAAATCACATGAGCACAAGAAAAACTGACCTAAATGGACTCCAGCAGCTGACTTTTCATTAATTTCTTAAAAGAAACAACCGGTTTGGATCGATAGCCACTGTTGACTGCATTGTTATGCTTGACAGCATTATAGCTGTAACTTCTTTCAAAGACCGAGGTATTGTGAGGAGGCATGTTAAAATTAGCATTAAATCTAAGAGCTCTGGTAACAAAACTACCTCGGTGAACTAATTTGCTAGCGAGGTAAGCTGGTCTGCTAGATAATAGAACTTTATGCGTGAAGACGGCCAAAAGATATAAAAATAACTTATCAATTCGCAAATAGTTGAGTTCTTTGATTTTATCTGAGACGCGACTAAACTTGCGCAATCCAAAAATAAACCTACAACAGCTGTTCTGAATTTTCTGGAGTTTCCTTTTGTGGACGTAGTCTAAACATGGGTAATACAGAACAAGAGAGTAAGAAATGACAGACAACACAAGACTTTCAGCAAGCTTTTTTCGGGTTTTAAAATTCAAGATGTATCGATTAGAATAGAGGAGTTTCAGACGCAAATACGTTACTCTAGATAAGAAAGAGACATGCCGATCGAATCTCATATTTAAGTCAAGGGTAACACCGAGATTCTTGGCGTAATCCATAAAAGGGATGAGTGTCTCATCCAAAAAAACACAAATCCTCTGCTTCATTTCACGGTAGGAGTTCTTCGAACAGTACAACATTGCAGTAGTTTCATTAGGATTGATCTTCAAGCAGTGTTTGTTACAGTAATCACCGATGTTAGCTAAATCTAAGTTAACTTTAAAAGAAACTTCATCAACCTTTGATGGATCGAAACCAAACACTAACTGAGTATCATCTGCATAAGTTTGCATACTACAGTGGACTAAACAGTCTTGCAGATCGACCGTATAAATCAGATATAGTAAGGGACCTAATACTGAGCCCTGAGGAACTCCTGAAGGAACTGGCTCAGAGGAGGAAATTCCCTGATCAGTTTTCACTGTTTGTTGACGATTTAGCAAGTATGACTCAAAGAACCTTAGAACTATATCTGACATTCCATAATGAGATAACTTACTCAGTAGTATTTAGTGATTGACCATATCAAAGGCTTTCGAGAAATCTAACAGTACCAAGACGGTGTTGATGTGATTGTCTAAATTGTGAATGATGGAATCAGTAAGATGTAATAAAGACGAAGTAGTGCTGTAACCAGCTCTGAAACCTGACTGATGTAGAGGAAATAAGTGATTTTGTTCGAAAAACTCCACTAGTTGTGAGTAGACAGCTCTTTCGAGTATTTTTGATAGAAAGCATAATAAGGTAATTGGCCTGAGATCCGAATATTGTTTTGGATGATTAGTTTTAGCTATTGGAATAATAATACCATTTTTCCAACTGGCAGGAAAGTAACCTGTTTCGAGACAGACATTAATAATGTGAGTTATATGGTCTATGGTATCAGGCAAGCATAAGCAAACCATATTTAAAGTTAGACCATCAGAGCCACATGCCGTAGACTTAATGTGAGAGATTATATTGACGATGTCTTGCTGAGTAAGGAGTTTAAAAGCAAACAAAGGTGCATCCGGTGTATGACGTCTATCGCTATAAGAGTTAGAGACACTATCAATCAAATTTGTATCATCTGCAGCTGTCTGTAAAATTGAAAGAAAATAATTATTTAAAATGTTAGGCTCAAGGAGACTGGGAGGTATCGCAACATGTTTTTGGGCTACCACATTCATCCTCCTCAGGTGTTTCCAAGCTTGACTAGAGTTAAGATTCCGGAAACGTGACATACATGTATATCTTTTTTCTCTCTTCTAAGCGATGCAAGGGCATAATTTCTCAAATCTTTGTAGCTGGCCCAATTCTAATCAGATCTGTTATGCTGATAGACCTTTTTCGTTACAGACATTCAAGCGTGCTTGTATAAAAACGTTGCACAAGTATGCTGGACAAGCTTGCAGTTGTGTCTGTAGCCACCTTAACAGGGGGCACAAGCGTGATTGATCAAAATCCTGTAAATAGTCTTCTTCATTTCATTTGTTATGGGATAGTGAACAGCGCAATTGTTAGATGGCGCTATTAACAGTGCTACTAGGAACGGTCCTAGTCGATATGGAATTCAGTCATATTTAAAACAAAATACCTTGAAAAAGTCGATTAGCCTTTGCCACCATGACTCTTTACCTACGGGTTCCTTCTCACAGGGGTCCTGGACGACTTCGCAACTTTCTGTTTCTTCTTGAGCGCACACGTACACCTATAATGGATGAATTCATGTTGTTTTTTGTATTTGTTTGAGATTTATTTAGCATGATTGCTACAATTACATCCTTTTGTTTAACTACAACAATTACATAAGATACAGACATTTAGAAAAACAAAATTTGCATCTCTGAGAATTTTCGCTGTGCATGAAATATTCCTTTAATTTTCTTTTAAACATCTTTAGTCTATAACTAATTGTTTAGTTTATTAAATTCAAGTAATCTTTTCTGAAATATTGTTCTGCTAGTTATAACACTATTGCATTTTTGTAAATGAAAATCTATATTTCCTCTGTGGTCATGATTATTCGATTCTAGGTAGTGTTCTAAATGTTGTGATAAAAGATGATTTTTTATTTTAAATATAAAGATAAGAACCAAATATCATATGAAATTTTTTCATATTCAACCACTGCAATTCTTGTAATATATATTTGATTTTGGTGTACTTGTAATTTCGAGAATAGAGCTTCATTGGCAGTGAACAAGACAGTTAAGCAAAAAGTAAATGCGATAGAATAATTGTATTATAAACTATTTATTTGAAATACGAGTATATACTAATACTATGGAAGCCCTATAAATTTGTTGTTTTGGCAATTTAAAATCACGTATAATACATGATCCTCAAACTTTAGTTTACTATAAATATGTATGCCTAAATATTCAATTGATTCAGCATTTTCAATTATTTCACCATTTATCCTAACTGTGATAATATTTTCATTTAGGACTGTATTTTCATCTGATATATCTTAATTTTGCAATAATCTAAAATGTCATTAATGTATAAAATAAATCGTAGTGGACCTAGCTTACTACCTTCTGGTATACCAACAGAAATATTTTATGAGCTTGTTTTAATTCTGATTTATTACCTACTGTCAATTAAATACTTTTGTAAAATGTTGAATGCATATCCTTCAAATCCATAGTGATGCAATTTTGTAAGAAATTTATCTCTGTCAATAGTTTCAAACACTGCCACTGTATGTTTTCTATTGTCGATACATCTCCTCCAGTCCTCTAAAGTCATGTGTATTGCCATTTTAGTTGAGTGTTTCTTCCTAAATCCAGCTTGAAATTTAGTTAAAATTCTGTTTCCTTTAATAGATTCCATGATTTGGTCGTAAATGATTTCTTAAAAAACTTTTCATCATTTATTGGCGGCATATTCATGTACAACTCATAATTCTTAACTTGCGGAGCATGAGTTATGGTATAGTTGTAATCACCGTTTTTGGCGGTTACGTCATCAACGCCATATAAAAGAAGTGAACAGATCGAGTCTCCGTACCATGGGCGGATCATAAGCATCAGCCCAACTGCTACTCTCTCTAGTACGCATAAAGTAGGTAACAGGAGACGGCTGTTTTCATTCTCTTCCAGGAAATACTCAAAAAAAATTAGCACGAGCTGTCGGCCTTCTCCATTGTTCGTATTACCGGGCATAGTACAATTTTATATTGAAGATTGATAACAGGACAACTCAAATTGCACGCCGATGTCAAGTAAAGTAAGTAGTATTAGAGCCTTCGCACACTACGTCGTATCGTAATCGTATCGTAATACGCGCGTAGGACGAGAGCAAAACGAGCTCGTATGTGTGGTAACAAGTCCGCACACGAAGCGGTGTTGCAGCGAAGCGTATGAGATGTTCAGTCATATTACGGTAGTCATAGAAGCAAGCGTAAAATTCAAAAGTTTTGTTTAATTGCTCTCTATATGGCTGAAATGTCTCCTTCCTCATTCGATAAAAGCTTCGGAATTTATTATCATCTTGTGAAAGTCCACGTGCAGCAACAAACAATCTTTTCTTCTTATTACTTGCGATCCAAGCACGTCGGTTTCTACTTCTAATATAATCAAACAATAAAAAATTCCTCTTCGTCTGAAGAAAATGTAAGATCATCAATGGATACACCAGAAACATCTGGTACCGTTGACGCCATGATTTCAACTGAGATCTTACAAAACGATACGAGTACGTGACGATGCGTGTGTGGAACCCTGCAGGTCTCGTAAGCGTTGTGTCGTAACGATACGCTTACGAAACGACTACGCTTACGCTGCGTGTGCGAAGGCCCTTACTTTGACCTGCCAAGAACGGTAACTACAACTATAGAACACTTTAGTTTTTTTGGAAATGTGCCAAAATTCAGACAGTAATTTATCAGGATTAATATTATTGGTCCCATAATATCAAAACGTTCATTAAGCACCGTTTTAGAGCTCTTAGAGGTCACTCTTATTTTGATTTCATTTCAATTCTGATTTAGTCTTCTTGAGACAATTAATGTTTATTATTCTAAACTCACTGAATAATGCATTATAATCAATACATTGGTTGGGATCTCCGTCAATAATTGATCTTACAATGCCGTTGACACTTTCTTTGAAATATGTATGTCATTTATTGATTTGTTATATTTGTGCGCCACTGGAAACTAAAACTATATATATATATATATATATATATATATATATATATATATATATATATATATATATATATATATGTCATTCTGTAAGGGTAAGGGTAAGGGGCACATGGCGCTTGTCTTGAGGCGCCTTCGATTTGCGTTACACAAACACGCCACATAGCACGTTACTGACTGCGAAACTTTATGAGTGAATGTCCCACAATCAGTATTCACTGTGAAGCGTCAGTATTTATAATGGAATTTGATATTTATCAAGTCAGTAATTATTGATGTATAACATTACATGGAAATCCACTAACTACGAATTCGAACTAGGCAGAAGGATCAAGTCACGTGTCCCATACATGTATTCGTATGAAGTCAATCCTGTAGCCCAGGGTAGTGTGGCTCTCTGAAATCCAGTGTCAACATACAACCTGCCGAAATCTTTATGTGCATGTCTCACGTTTTGTTATGCTTTGGGGGCTTATTTCTTCGTAGTTTATTAATATTATCTAATATTTTTGCTCGCAACTGATTCGAACTGTCAAAATTAGAGTTGTTCACAGTAATGAAGACAGCAACATAGAAAGATACCGCATGCACAGAACCTGAAGTTTATTTGCTGCGCGGTATACCAACTCACTTCATCGTCGACATTTTTGGCTTCAGCCTCTCTCGGTCAGTTTAACCTCCTATCTCTAGTCTTCACAGAGCAAGTATACGATTTATTTGTTGCTAAAATTATGAAGTCAGTAGTCAGGATGCAAGTTCAATTAGTCTTAAGCTGCCAGTTTGCCAGTTATTGAAATTTCACATTGAATTCGCACTTCCCTGCGAAAACATATATAAGTTCGTGGGATCCATACAATCCTAGTGTTCCAGACATTTGCCGAAAATGTTGGAGGTTCGCAAAAAGCAGTTTAAGCTTAATAACAGCAAATATTTTCATCAATAAGTGTTATATATTATAGTCATCGGCGTTGCGAAAAGGCATATACCTCAACATTTGGCTTTTACCTGGACAGTGAAGTAATTCTGATTTGTTTCATTTCACTTCATGTTTCATTGAGCGCCCAGTCTCAGTCTAAGGTTTTTTCACAAAATGCTTACAACATTCCAAAATGCAAAACATTGGAGATAAACCAAATTTTGTGTAGCTTTAACTACTTTAATTTTCACATTCACATAACAACACAGATAGCATTAAAGTATTTCTGCCTTGCTCTACGTGAGTTCACCCAGTGCAATATCTGATTGAATATCGTTTCCAGAGAGAAGAATGTACGCCAGTGTATTGGTTTGTCATTTTGGTAGGCTGTGATAGGCAAATTAGCCTAAAGTATCGACAAAAGCTACACAATTCTGGCAAAAAACAATGCAATATAAACAAATTGGTAGTAGCCAAAACAACTCTAGTGAAAGACGCTTTAACTATAACTGTAGTATAGTTTAGTTTTAAGTAAGCTTTGTCATTGGGAATGATTGTATTCTTCAGACAATAAAGCATATTATCTATCTATTATATACGCCTGGCTCCTTCCAATCTGATATCTTTTAGATTCCAGTTAGTACCGATGTAAATAGTTTGTCAAATATTCGAACCGCCAGGGCAAACATAAGAAGGTAGAAAAGCTAGTTTGCTATGCTACTATTCTCTGGTTTTGGCTGTGGTTGTGGCTCGGGCACAAAAACTGACCTTCGATTGGAAACTGAAATCACACAACGACAACACCTAGATCGGTTGCGTACGATGTAACCCACTTGGTACTTGTCATAAATATTTACACCTCACCTTATATCCAAATAAAATACTTCAAGATTGTTAATATCTATTTTGTCCAAAGCCAGTCGTACCTTTTTTTCGCATGGATCTTCCTTTGCTTTTATATATCGCTTTTCCTCTTTGCTCAAAACCCTTTCTTCTTTAGTTATGACGCACTGACCTCGGTCTTCACGAGCCTTAAAAAGAATTGACTCTTCAAGAAAGGAGAAATATGACACAGATGTATCGTTGCATTTGTGCAACTAAGAAAATGGAACTTGAAATGTTTCGCCAGTTTGGGTTTTTTTGGGGGATCGACGAAAGAAATCGAATTTTCGAAAAATCGATTTATTTTTTCCTGACTATATGTGAGATTTTATTTCAAAATAAAAGGTACATTGATATCACCACTTTTTCTTATCTACACGATGGAGTAATTAGAATTTCAATATAACGTTCCATCTCTTATGTTTAATCCTGGACTCTATCTTTTCTTATATACGCCATATAGCGTTAACTTTCTTGGCTTGAAACTTTGTAATTCTAAGAGTTCTAGATATTCACAATTTTGGTGGGTATATGAAGGGTTTTCGTTTATCAAGAGCTTCCTTTGACGTACGAATTTATGTCTCACGACTTCTCGGTTTTGACATAGCTTTCCTATTTTCTGCTATCTTCTAGTCATAATATATACTTGGCCTTAGTTTGTCTTATTTATAATGACGTATTGTTTGTTATTTTATTATCTTTGTGTATATATTCCATTTTCTTAGTAAGATAAGGAGCAACTTTTCTTCCATTCTCCAAGATTGTTTCCGAGATCCCAATGGTGACAGTCGAATTTATAACACCCGGTATACATTTTCCTACATATTAATAATGTTTAATACCTAACCCGAGGCATGAAAACTCCAATCGATTAATTTTATGTTCTCTCATCAATAGATATATCTAAACATTTTTCAAAAGTTGCGCCATTTGTATATTTTCCTAATATTTCGATGTACTTATCAAATTTAGTATTGTCCAATGGGAGCAAAGACCATATAGAAAAATGAAAATATACATGTTGATATTATTATTAATTTGTAACGATGTGACAATTGTTTTCCTGTACCTCGCATTCTTTTTCCACAGTTTTGATTATTTCACAACTCTTCTTTGGCTTGTTGCAATCATCGTCGTCACCACTAGCGCCACATTTATCAACTCTGCTTCTGCTACTGTCTTTGTTGCAGCACGAATTACTAGATCCGGCTTTGATAAGTTGCTGGAGAGCTTGTTTTTTATTTATACGTTGTCCAAAGTTGCTGCAATCTTGTGTCAAACCTAGAGAAAAGGAATAAAAAAGAACAGTTCAGACAAAGGCGGTGGGAGATAACATCGATGAGAATTGTTTTTCTGACGAAAAAGGATCTCCCACAGATCCGAGAATATCCATCGGCATGCCACGTATCTCATAGCAAGTTTGGGTAACTGAGAACATTCTGTATTACTGTATGCTACTGAAGCAACAGCCATCCTCGTCGATGCTTTCACCTGCCGTTTCTCAATGAACGCTAGCACTAAGCACACTGATGGCAAAAATTAAGGGATCAACAAGTTTGTAATTTTTTAATAATTATTAGAAATGCTATACCTAAATAAACAATATTGAATTCATTGTACTCATTGTATACATTGTATACATTGTATACATTCTATACATTGTATACATTCTATACATTGTATACATTGTATACATTGTATACATTGTATACAATAATTGTGTACATTACATACATAGAATGCAACGTGTGAAGATCAATAATAATCTCTCGCGAGTAAGGACAATAAATCAAGGGGTGTCGCAGGGTCCGATACTCGGACCGCTATTATTCACGCTATATACTAGTAAGCTCTCCAAATCCCTTGAATACTGTAAGCCTCACATGTATGCAGATGATACTCAAGTGTGCGTTTCATTCCTTGGTGATGATTAGCCAATGGCGGAGTTTAAAATTAATGCTGATCTTGACGCTCTATTTAAAACTTCTAATGATCATTCAATGTCACTGAATCCAAAAAAATCAGCAGCAATAATTTTTGGAAAAGATCGGTCAGAGATGATGAACAATATGACGCTACATATAGATAATGTTCTAATACCGTTCTGCGATTCTGTTAAAAATTTGGGTCTCATAATAGATTTTCAGCTCAGATTTAAAGAGCATATTTCAAAATGTATACAAAGAGCGTATTATGTACTCAAGCTGCTTTACCCTCATAGACACTTTCTTAGCAGAGACATCAAACGAATGCTATGCGAAACGTTGGTTTTGTCCCAGTTTTCGTATGGTGCTCCTGTCTATTATCCATGCTTGGATGCTGATACGATATCTAGAATTCAGCGTGTTCAAAATTCATGTATAAGGTACATTTTCGGTATAAGGAAATATGACAGAGTTAGTCATAAGCTGAAGGATTTACAGTGGTTGAACATGAAACAGCGTTCAGAACTATTAACACTATGTTTCTACAATAATATTTTGTCGAGCAAGTCACCGCCATATTTGTGTGAAAAAGTCATGTTTAGAGAAAGTCTTCATTCTGTCAATGTTCGTTTGAAACAGAATATTTCTGCTCCATTCCATCGAACATGTTTTTTCGAACGTGGCTTCTCTTACAACATCTATAAATTATACAACTCCATCCCCCAGCAAATCAAAAATATGAAAGGTTGCAAATTCAAGGCAGCTCTGAGACGATTCCTTTTAGATAAGTATAATTAACTTCACTGATAATACTGTAACATTTAGCTTTTTTGGATGAATCTCATGATTATATGATGGAATATTTTCAGTTTTATATTTTCAGTGTTATTTGTTTTTTTTTTGTACTCATGCTTTTTTTTCTGCTCTCATATAGTTAGTAGTAGGCATGTAACAGTTGATATCACAATTTTAAAATAGAGCAAGGGATGAGTGGAAGAGCACGCAGGTCGTGAACTCCCCCTTGAGATTCGAGAGCAATTATTCCAATTTGTTGAACATTATTTTTGTATGCATTGTCTCCTCGAATAAAGCCATTTATTATTATTATTATTATTATTATTATTATTGTATACACTGTATACATTGTATGTATATATATATGCTATAATATAAGTTCAGCTCTAATTACTCTACCTTCGTGTTTGACACCCAACTTCTGCCGTAGATACTCTAAATCCATGGTTCTGTCTATGATATTGTCAAACGGGCAAGGCTGTCTGTCACAGCTACAATCGCTCTCAGGCAATATGGGGTACTGTGGCTGAAGCCTTTTGATGTCGGCCTCAGCTTGAGGATAATAATAGCAATTATAATTTATTCACATCAATTACAAATTGTGAATAAATTGATATACCACAAAAAGAAAATATCCTTGTTTACGGGTATCGTTCTAACATAACATACATATAACATAGTTACAATAAACTGATTGGAAAAAACATCTATATAATATACATGTAATATATACATTAATTTTGTATCGTAGATTATCAATGAAGGAAATATATTATTATTATTATTATTATTATTATTATTATTATTATTATTATTATATGTCAGTTTTTTATGAATTATGTTACATCATGTTGATATCAGTATTCAATAGCCACTCGGATAAATCAATTGTTATAAGGATATTCGTTTTTTCTAATATATTTTGGTAAGTTATGATATAATTTTGGACCTAAGCATATAGGAGACTTCAAAATACTTTTCTTTTTTTGGTGTTGCAATAATTATTTATTTTTATTTCTTGTTTCATATTCATATTTTTTTAAATGGTTGAATGTTTGTTTTTATGGAATTCTAGTACAACATTATACCAAAATAATTTTTTGATATCTAAAGGTTTTGATTCTATAAACAGCGAATAAATGATCATATCAGATGTTAGTTTACTACTCATTTTTGCGAAATCGGTACAAGGCCATAGACCTACTTGATTTTTTTTTCAATTCAAACCACATCCTTCGAGATAAGAATAATTTGTGATTAACATGATGTGAAATTTAACATGAAAAATTACTTCGAAAACTGGCAACCTGGCCGTAGTAAGTGAAGTTATATGAAATGACAACTGATGTCAAATCTACGCTGCTACTTTCCTGACCATGACCAGCTGTATATTTGGCAATCCAGCAAACTGACATCTGTCAGATGTAAGCGTTTTGTCAGGTTGCCGGATGTCGTACAAATTTTAATATCAAATTTCATATCGTATCATACAGCCCTATCAGATTGACCTATTTATTTGCTTTTCCAAATATCAAGTACCAGAAGACGCTTCTCACGTCACTGATCCATATACTGCTTAATAATGATTGTTTTCAGGCAATAAAGCATATTTTTAATCTATCTATGATCCCCGGGTCCATTTTGGTGCTTGCATATAGAAACACTGGAAATGGAAACAACTACAAGTTAAGTTGAAATTGTTGAAAGACATACCGATACGAGGTGCGCAAACTATACTAGCACTTTTCGTACTGCTTTTCTTCGTCTGTTGCTCAACTTTGCGCCTACAATCTTTTTTAGAGCTGCTACCACTTGAAGCAGAGTACGTCTTGACCACTTTTGCGGTTCCAAGCTTTTTATTCATCTTGGCTTGAGCGAACATCATTAGAGCGGGAACTTCTTAAGCCACCAAAAATACGGTTACTCAACAAACAAATTCTATTTTCATAAATATCCAGGAGAAATATTTTCATGGCCTACCTCGACTTACGTTCAGTCCCGCCAAGAACTCGAGATGAGGGGATACCACCGATGTACTGAGTCGTTGGGTATCAGTGAGCTGTCCGTGGTACTCGTACGAGGAGTAGTTTCTTTTGATAGTGCCTTGGAGATGGCTTAACCGCTTCCACTTGTTGGAATCGTTGATACGCCATTGAGCATTGCGTAGTCGAACGAATTGCATGGGATCGTCATCATAGATTGGCAATGGTTGGGATGGGATGTGATTCTGGAATCAAATCAATCTCATGAGTAGATGAAAGACAATAATAATAATTTATTGGTACTATTACACAAAATTGTGTTTGCACAGGTCAGTTAGAGTAGAACATAAAAGAGTAAGTAAAGACAACAACCAATACGAAAATAAGACAAACGTAAAACACAAAGTGGCAATAAGAGGTAAACAAAACTTGATAAAACCTATTTTAAAATTTAGATGAACAATAAAATAAGATGGTTAAAGAATTATGAAATAGTAACAATTTTTTCATGTTTGTATTCAACAGTCCTTACACACGTCTGGAGAACGATAAAATGTAATACAAAAATAACACATACACAAAAAAACAAACGAAAACAAAGTAATAAAACAAATAGTCAACAATTATGGAACAAATTCGGTAAAATCATTATTTAAAAACTCATCTATTCTGTAAAAAGCTTTCATCACTAGATATCTTTTTACAGTTGCTTTAAAAATGGTTGAGTTGAGTATTTGACAAAACCTGGGCAGCGCATTAAAAAATTTCACACCGAAATAATTACTTCCGTGTCTAGTATTTGGTAGTACTGTGTACTCTGGTATTAATTCATTGTTGAACCTTGTGTTATATTTGTGAATCTCTTACGGAGTTCTGTAATCATCGTAATTATTTTTAACGTGGATCAGACATTCCAGTATATATGTATATGCATGGTACAGTAAAAAATTTTAGATCGATAAATGTCGTCTTGCAACACTGTCTGAAATGTAAGTTTACTATTATTCTCAATCATCGTCTCTGAACAGCAAACACCTTCGATCCATGACATGAATGACCCCAAATCAGTATGCAAGTTAGATTGGAAGTAAGCATAATATGCTGTCATTAAAGTCGATTTGGTTACATAGGTATTTAGACTACGAATCATATATGTTATTTTAGATAGCTTCTTTGATAAAGAGGTGATGTGATAAGTTAAGCTTGCATCAATAATAATCACTCCAAGAAATTTCACGTCCTCTACTGAATTACTTCTATGTGGACGAGTACTGAGTAGAAGAGATTGAGTTTTCGCTCTGTTGATTATATGTGTTCCTGCTGTGACAGTGTTAATATACTGTAATTCACAAGAATGCACATGCTACATTTTTATATTCGGCAAGGAAAGATGATGTAATCGGCATGATTGTGTTACGTTATACATACGTGTACATTATATTGTTTTATATTAGCCATTTTTTCCTCAGTTGGCTGACAGCGTTCATGCAAGATGTCTCGAAAGTGTGTAAACAATCCAGATCATTTTTGTTACGTGTGTGGTGATGTGACTTTTGCGTCTCAGAGACGGTCTATTACTCCACTAATAACAAAGGCATATCAGCTTTATTTCGGTTGTAAACTAGGTGATCAAGACAAACAGTGGGCACCCCACATCTGCTGTAATACATGTGCTTCAAGTCTGAGGAGCTGGTTAAATGGCAAAAAACGGTCTATGCTCTTTGCTATCCCAATGGTTTGGAGAGAGCCTACAAATCATATTAATGATTGTTACTTTTGCATGGAACCTTGTGTTGGACAAGCCACAGGTATGTCCAAGAAAAAAAAATCGGTTATTAACTATCCAAACATACCATCTGCGATGAGACCTGTGCCTCACAGTGACGAAAATCCTATTCCAAAACCCCCAGAATCCTACACTTGCGAATCAGAAAACGAATCAGATCATGGCGATCGAGTGATTCGTCAGGAAGAAGATATGCCATCAACGTCAAGAGATCCTGATTTTATACCGAGCACGTCATGCCACCAACCGCACAAAATAACACAGTCAGAATTAAATGATCTTGTAAGGGATTTAGAACTTCCAAAATGTAAGGCAGAGTTACTTGGATCAAGACTGCAGCAGTGGAACTTGTTAGAAGACGATGTTTCGGTATGTGTTTTTCGTAAACGCCACAAAGACTTAGAACCATGTTTCAATATGGAGAATAACTTGGTTTTCTGCAGTAACATTAACGGCTTACTGGCGGCTTTAAATATAAACTATAACCCAGAAAATAGAGATTGTTTATAGACAGTTCAACATTGAGTTTAAAGGCAGTGTTATTGCATATTGTAAATATTTTACCATCTCTTCCTGTAGGGTATGCAGTTCACATGAAATAATCATATGACAATATGAAGTACCTATTGACATGCATAAAATACGATGAGCACCAATGGCATATTTGTGGCGATTTGAAAGTTGTTGCACTTTTACTTGGGCTGCAGCTAGGCTACACAAAGTTTTGCTGTTTTTTGTGTGAATGGGACAGTCGGGCAAAGGCAATTCATTACACCAGACAAAACTGGCCTGTTCGTCAATTCCTAGAGCCAGGTCAAAAAAATGTATAGCATATGCCATTAGTAGATTCGAAAAAAAATTTATTACCACCACTGCATATCAAGTTGGGCCTAATGAAAAAGTTTGTCAATGCATTAGATAGAGATGGGTCAGCTTTTCAATACCTGCGTCAGAAATTTCCAAGACTAAGTGAGAAGGTATTTTTGTTGGGCTACAGATTCGAAATATTTTGAAAGATACACAGTTTGAAAACACTTTAACAGGTATTGAAAAAACTGCTTGGAATGATTTCCGTCTGGTGGGCACTAATTTCTTGGGAAATAGAAAAGCTGACAACTATAAAACCCTTGTCTAAAATATGCTGTCATCGTATCAAAAGATGGGCTGTAATATGTCTCTTAAGATACATTTCCTACACTCACACCTGGACTTTTTTCCTAACAATTGTGGAGCCGTAAGTGATGTGCACGGCGAACGTTGTCATCAGGATATTTCAACAATGGAAAAAAGGAACCAGGGAAAGTGGAATCCTTCCATGCTTGCAGACTACTGTTGGACTCTTGGTAGAGGTGCTCCAGAAACGGTCCATAAAAGAACAGCAAAAAGACAGCGCATATAGTGATTCTTATAAGTATATGAATCTTGTCACTTTTTTTAATATATCCTTAAAAATAAAAAGTTTTTTTTCTAAACCGCAACTAATTTTTTTATTTCATTGTCATTTTTAGATTCAGCGCCTGAAAATTAACAATGAAGTGCACTTTTCCCACAAGATACAATTAAAAAACTAAAATTTGTTGTCCAGTGGAATCGAGTATTACATTGTCAAAGTTACTATTGGAGGGTATTGATATCGTGTCATCCGCAAATAATATATATTGATTGATGCTACAGTTTGGCAGATCATTGATGTAGATCAAAAAAAGAATCGGTCCCAAGACACTTCCTTGAGGAACTCCGTGCTTAATATGTACATTGTTAGATAAACAATTTTGAAAACTAACATACTGTCTTCTGTCTGATAAATAAGAGACAATTAAGGACAGGCTGTTATTACTAAAACCATACAGCGACAACTTTTGAATCAAAATGTGATGTTGGGCACAATCAAATGCTTTTGTAAGATCATAGAAGTTAGCGAGAGCAAACATGTTATCTTCCAGACATATGTTGATGAAACTGATAGAATCATTTATTGCTGCATTCATTATCTGTTGGTACGGTATCCAAACTGGTTGTTACAGAATAAATTGTTACCTTCGACGTATTCACATATCTGATTCTTCAGAAGTATTTCGAAAATTTTTGCTATAATTGGTATTATAGAGATGAGTCTGAAATTACATGGATCATTCTCACAACCTTTGAAGAGTTGCAAAATCTTTGCAAGTTTTAACAAGGCAGGAAAGACATTATTTTCTATACACATGTTTAGAAATTTTGTTATAGGATATACTATCAAGTTATTTAAGGTCTTCGTAATTTTAACGTCGATGACGTAAGGATCTTTACTTTTAGAATTGTTTAAGCTTTTGATTGCGTCTCGAACATCATTGAATGAAACAGTTCGAAGGTAGAAATGTAGTATATCACTAGTCTGTATATGAACTTTTCTAATAAACAGGGGCGTACATTGAAGAGAAAAATCTTTTGTGATACTAGCATCAGTCGGACCGATATCTGGCGATACTCAGCCAGCTTTTTTCCTTCCAGGAGCCGTCAGACTAACGTCCTCGACTGCGGTCTCTTTGCATTGCTCCTCGAATTTACAGTGGCCAATCCAACAGCATAGTGTTCTGTACCAGTTGGTACAGTTTCCCTGTCGGTTGTTCTAAGCTCCGATACTAGTTTTTTCGCGAAGAGTTGATGTATTTTGTAATCTAGGACCTCGCACTCACATGAGAGATGTAGGACTGGTTTTGTTCCTTTTCCGCATTATCTGCATATACAGGGTGTTCATTTGCACACCTCCCACCACAAATTTATCGAAAACCACTGATTAAAAGAAAATACGGCGAGACACGTCAAGAGATTTGTCAAGGAGGACAACTTTTTAAATAAAAAGTACCTCACTCCCTTTCACCCCCTTTCACCCTCGGCCCCCCAGGGTCATGCCCTTAAAAATTTTAAATGACAAGGGGTATCGAGTAATAGCTTGTTTGAAAGGTCTTTCGAAGTTCTTTATTTTGACGTTAGGGTTTTCCAAATCCACAATTCGTATATAATTTAAAACGGAAACTATCAACATAAACAGCAATTTGGAAGATTAGACGTGGCAACAACCAAATAACAACTCGATTTTTTTCCGTATTCTTTTCATGAACCTGTTTAGTTATTTGTTGTCAAGGGAAAGAAATAATTTAATTTGCTGTCAGTTACCTTTGTGACAATCTTGGGATACTGAAAATTAATTTGGTTCAGATTTTACTTCCAAATGATTGGCACGCCCCCCCCGAAAGAGTGGAGACGGTTCTAATCCCCAAAATCAATGTGCTCGGCAAACTGCCGTCACGTTTAACGCCAGACATCTGGGGAAGATAACTTCGCATAGGTCTATTCTGGATCTTGTTATTGAATTTACTCAAGCTGGACCTGTTGCAAATAAAAAATGTAGTCATCGGAGAGTTTTGGATGAAGCCGCTCAAGTTGAAGTTTTGGGCCATTTTGGAATAAATCCTAATA